GGGGGGGAGGTGCAGGGGGAGTGCGCCTGGAGCCCTCGCACTTACCGCGATGCTGACCTTCCCCAGGATCTCCTCGGGAATTCTCTTGGCTTCCTTCAACACCTGGTCCAGAGAGCCGCCGTCCTAGGGTCGGCACAGAGGGGAGAGAGCCGGCTCTGAGCGGTGGGCCAGGCGGGGCCTGCGGTGCAGAGGAGGGGTCCCAGAGGGACACCGGGAAGCAGCAGGACAGCGGAGCACTTCCCCGCTTCCCAGGGGCTGGAGCTCAATCTCCTCCACGGGACACGGAGGCCAGACCACAGCCAGACGCGACTCGCTGGTCAAGAGCAGGGGCCCCCTCCGGTCCCCGTCCCCTCCGGAGCCTCGGGACAGCCCATCCAGTGAGGAGGCAGCGAGAGTGCCGGCCGGCGTCCTAGGCGGCCCACCCTCCCAGAAAGCGAGGCCCAGGACTCAGCCTTCCCCAGCTCGCCACACTGGCAGCAGGCGGAGGGAAGCAGCCAGCCTCTGGGGCCGGGTTCTCCTCCTGCAGGTCGGAGGCCGACCCGGCAGAAGGGCAGCGGGGGCCCGGAGGCACCGGCACAGGAGAAACACCGCTGCCCACAGCTCCCGGGCCCCCGTCCCTCAGGCCTTGTCACGTGCTGGCCGCCGTGCGCAGATACGTCCTGCCTTCAAAGGACAGGCACAGGTCCTGCCAGTCCCGAGTCCCACCTCACCCCACCCCGGTCACGGCCTTAAACCCGCAGGCTGTGGGACAGCAAACCTGGAGACCAAACCTAGGTGGGGCTCTGAGGAATGCCCACTGGGTCCCCTGGGACGCTAGACGGACCCACTAAGTTCCACGCGCGGGGGGCCAGCATCTGAGCTCAACGCTGGGCAGCCTCGGGCCGGTACGGTCTCCCACCAAGCGGCTCTGGGCTGCCTACAGCCACGCGGCTTCCTCGAAGCCAGAGGAAGGGGTGCAGGGAGGAGAGCCTGAAATCCCAGGGGTGCCGGGGCCTCGTATCTCTAGCGCTTCTACCCGAGTCGTGCCCAGTGAGAAAGGTCAGGGCCGGGAAGTTCTAGAAAACCTGATACACGATGAAGCCTCTACAACCTGCACGTGACTCTCGAGTGCCTAGACGGCCACCCTCGGGACCAGGCGTCCTGGCTCAGCCTGCTCTGTCTGCAGGGAGGGGGCGTTCCTTCCAGCCCTCCCGTTTTCTCCTGTATCAACCAATCTTAGAAGAATCAAAAAACAAATTCTTTTAAAACCATAACCCTGCTTCCTGACACAGCTCCTTTCGTTCTTAATTGTCACGGACCTACCACAGGCTTATAAACGAGGATGTCCGGGGGGGAACATCCCCAGAGGCCACGGGAGGCCAGGCACTGCCCAGTCCTGCCGGCCACACGTGTCCCACACATGTCCCCAGACGTGGCCCGGTGTCCCCTGGGGCAAGAGCAGTCCCGGATGAGACCCCCCTGGTCTGCACTAAGTGTAAATCGTTCAAGTCACGTTGACAGGAAGTGGCAGAAATATAGCACAACTGGGTGTCTCTGACCCCAAATCTCACGCGTGTGCAGCATCCCACACTTTCGTTATGCATAGGTGTCCTAAATGCTCTGGGAACTGTACCCTGATCAAGCAGGTGCTACGTGAATACTTTCCTCATAAAACCCTCAACTGTAGGCACGTCACCCCCTGAAGCATGACTTCCATTGTTCCAGATCTTTCTGCATATCTGCATAGGCATCCACATGCGCGGGGAAACACGGAGTTTAACAAATGTACCTAAACGGCTCCCGTTATGCGTACTTTCTCCTCAGGGAGGCTCGTGCTCGGGGCACACACGCCCTGTCGCCCAGTCACCTCTGTCCCCAGCCTGGGTGGGGATCACCCTTTCCTCTCCCTGCCGGGCGGAGGTGTGACTTCAGATCTGACTAGACCCCAGGAAACACCAGGAGGTGCCTGTGAGCAGTGAGCAGGCTGCCCCCCAAAGTACCCGCTGTCTGCGGGGTCCGTGCCCGGAGTGGCCCCGGCGACAGCCTCAGGCCACCAGGAAACCAACGGCCCGCTGCTTCTAAGCCCACACACCCCATGGGCCGGCCAGGGGAGACCATCCCTGCGTGCGGGATCCACGCTGCTTGTCACCAGCTGGGGGTCTCTTGCTGCAAGCGGGGGCCGGAGTCCTCCCGGCTGGACACAGGAGCCAATTCGCACGCAAACCTGCGCAGACAGTCTCGCCCCCTGCCCTCGGCTCCAGGTGCTGGCGGAAGGCTGGCCCTCCCGCCCCCCAGCTCTACGGGTGGAAGGCGAGAGCCTCGTCCCCAGCCACGCCGCTAAGAGGCGAGCGGTGGCGTGGACGCCCGACCCCAGGCTGTCGCCCGGTGTGGCACACGAGTGAATGACGGACAGAGAACCCTGGGGAATGTGGCTCTGGAGGGGATCGTGTGACATGAAAACACCACGAAGGGCAGTGGGCTGGGGGCCACCCCCCGCCCCGGGTACTGTGCTGTCATCTTGTTCTCTCCAGGCCTTCCTTGCCCAGACCGCCCCCTCCTCTGGGCTCACCCGAAACTTGAAAACCGGTGGCCTCCTGGCTTCGTGCACGGTAACCCCCGCGGCAGGTGGGGAGCGCGGGCCTCACCTGACCGCGTCTTCTCACGGGTGCTACCCGCTCGCTCTAGCTCCCTCCCGCCCTCGTGATACAAGCAAACCGAAAGAACCCAGCCAGGAATGTGTAGAGGACGAGCGAGCAAGCGGCCGGGATCCCTGCCCCTGCCCCTGATCGCCGCAGCCCATTCTGTGTCGCCGGGGCGCAGATGCCTCAGCAGGAAACCAAGAACAGAAGCGGGGCCAGGGGGCCGAGGCGGGACACGGGGCCTCTTCTGCAAGGGAAGGTGGCGGCTTCGGACCCGCACGGCGCTCCGGGGCAGCAGGGAGGGGAGGCAGAGGCTGGCCTCGACCACGTTTCTTGCCCTTGGTGCTCTCTGGCAGCGACCGGCGGGCGGGGCGCTGCCTGGCCCGGGGCCTGGGGCCTGCAGCACCCCGTCTGGGGCACGGTTACACCACGAGCGCTCACGAAGCGTCCCTCACGGGGGCTTGCTGAAACTCACTTCCTGCCCGCGTTACGACACCGTCGGAGGGGACGGCGCACGCCTGCGAGGCGTAACCGAAGCCGCCGTGCCTAAGGCCACGGCATCCTGGTTTTGCAAGGGCCCCGCAGGGCCAGGGCCCGGGGAGCCGGGCGGCAGACGGCCCCACACCTGACGACTTCGGCTCGGAACAGGGTGGGCAGCGTTTCCTCCCAGGGCCCTCAGCTCTGACCACTTCTGCTTTTCTTACACCCGATCCCACCCAGTTCTGACGTCCAAGACCACAGTTTCTTGACAAGGGGGCTCGTCAGAATCAGCCATGGTGGTTTGAAGCAAGAGACGTGCCCGTGTTCCACCCCAAAGCTTCTGACTCCGCAGGCCTGAGCTGGGGGGCAGAGCGGGCTTTCGCCTTTAACGGAGCTCTCTCTTCAGAGGGCACCTAGGAAACGTCAATCGGGATTGCCGGACGCCTTGGGTCCGGCAACTTCAGCTTCGGGACTTTATCCCGCGTCTCGTGTAAGGGAATTTCATTCGCTGTGGCTTGGGACGGGTCGGGATCAGCCCGTGCCCACCAGCAAGGAGTGTTTAATAAGCCACCTTACAGGCACGCGCCGTTGCCGGAACACGGCCGGTGGGGAAAACAAGGCGGGCCGTGTGCCAGCAGGGAACGGCTTCTGCCACGCACCCAGGGAGAGGCGAGGCCGGGACGGGGGCACAGAACCACGGGACCTGCGCGCACACGCCGACCCGGCCTGGGGCATCTCGGGAAGGACCCTGGAAGCAACGGTGCTTTGCGTCTGAGGACACGGGCCCGAGGGTGGTGGGCAGGGACCCCCAGCCGCCCGCCAGGGCGCCCTCACCATGTGCTCCATGCAGATGCTGATCTCGCCGTCGCTGTAGAAGGCCCCGTAGAAGCCCACGATGTACGGGGAGTTACACTCGTGCAGCACCTGCAGCTCGCGGATGATCTGGTTCCGGATGGCCGGCTTGATCTCCAGGTGGATCAGCTGCGAGGGAGAGGGAAGGGGGCTCGAGACCGGGCCTCGGAGGGGCACCCGCAACGAGGGGGCTTTGGAGCCCTGCCCCCGACGTGCTCGCCACAGCATTCGAAACAGCGACACACTTCTAGGCGCCTAGAGAGCCAAAAACACACGTCCACGCAAACTCGCACGCCGCGTTCACGCGGGACTCACGATCGCCAGAACGTGAAAGCCACCCAAGCGTCCACTGCACACGCGTTTCACTCAGGTGCATCCACCGCGCACGCGCACGTCCCTCGGCCGCCAGCAGGAGCGAGGCGCCCCCACCCGCCGCCCTGCGGACGGACCCCGAACACGCGACGCTCAGGGAGGGAACCCGACACGAGAGGCCACAAAGGGTGTGAGTCCACATGTGTGAAACGTCGGGAACAGGCTTATCCATGG